TAGGACAGCTGAATTAACAACAACAAAAACTATACCAATTGCTTGTGAGGATGCAGATAAATTTTTCTCCTACATTGCTGGTGGAAATGTAAAATATTACAGCCCTTCTGGAAAATAGTTTGAAAGGCTCTTTAAATAAGTAATCATAGACCTATCAGATGATATAGCAATTACGGCCACAGGCATTTGCCACAGACAAATGAAAGTGTATCCTTAGAAAAACTTGTGCACACGTTCCTAACAACTTTGCAGCAGCTAAAAAATGGAAACAGCCGATTCCATAAAACAGTAAATATTTTATTAGCATCAAAAAAGTGAATGATTGATACCCACAACAGGGCATGATGCTCAGTGAAAAGATGCCAGTTTCAAAGGTGTTATTGCTTTTAGGGCCCATGCTTGAAATTACAGTTATAGAGATGGAGAACAGAGTAGTGACTGCCAGAGGTTAAGGATGGAGGGAAAAGAGATGGACACAGCTATAAAAGGGTAGCATGAGAGACATCTTTGTGGTGGTGGAAGAGCGCTGTATCTTGATCACAGTGCTGGTTACACTATCTGCACATGTGATAAGATGGCATTGAGCTGAATGTACAGATGGTTCCATGTCCATGTCCTTGATATTGTACTCCAGCTATACAGGATATAAACACTGGGGGAAGCTAGATTAAGGGTATACGAGACTGACCTGCACAATTTTTGCAATTTCCTGTGAATCTATGATTATTTCAGGATAGAATGTTTTCGAGGCTGTCTCACGGAAGCTAACAAAACCAACATTTTGATTCCACAGCTTTGTGACCCCATCCCGTTGGCTGTTTCAGGGGAAGATTCTGAGCCATTACAGAGCAGCTCCAGGAAGTCTCCTGGGTCTAGAAAATGCTCTGTGGTGATTGCTGATGGACTGGATATCATCAGTCCTTCTGTTAACAGCAACTCACAAGCTGAGTTCACTCAGAAAAACGGACAGTGCAGAAAGCAAGTCTCATTTAGAGGTGAATGGGCAGCTTGCAGAGCCAGACCATTTGCACAAAGAAGGACATGTCCCTGACACAGCCAGGATGATTTATTTAATGTCATTAATAAGAATAGGAGGAAGCTGATAATGAAGAAGGCTCCTCATAAGTGTCATCTCTTAGAAAGAGGCAGATATAACTTTCAGAATCTCAACAGATTAGAGGATTGTACTACTGTGCTAGTACTGTTGTATATATCCCTTGGTAGAATTCACAATGAAACCCTTTAAGAGATTTGAAAGAACAAAATTGCTTGCACACAGGAAAATGTCGCTTGGGTCCTAAACATCAGGGACTTTTTCTCTTTAGTGCCCTCCTGGTGGCCGGCTCATGTTTTCAATTCAGAATTGGTGGAATTCTTGGAACTGTCCAGCAGAGGGACACCTGGCCTCTTTTGTAGATTTCTCTGTAGGTAAACCTGCTCTAACCAGTTGCTCCTTGACCCTCACGTGTGGAAGGTGAGCTGAGAGGTGCTGCACCTTACTCTGAGGAACACCGAGGGCCCTGAGATGCTTTACTCCGCATTGATTTCCTGGGCAGCCAAGGCGGAGGTTTGATTACGTGGTAGTACTGAAGGCAAAGACCATGAAAAAGGAAACTGCCAAGTTCAAGCAGGAAACCGTGACCACGGGGATGGAGAGGAGAAAAAACACTGAGTATACAAAGTGGCAAAACTGGCAAGACCTGGCAACAGATCAAATCGGGGAGAAAAAGATTCCCATGTTTCCAACCCCTGCAGCTAGGGGCAAGAGTGCAGGAATGCTCTTGTATCAAGTATCATGACTGTTGGTGCGAATTGCTGAGTTCTGGGAATGCCTATAACTCTGAGGGCAAATTAATAACGTGGGCTACAAGCCCAGATTACAGCAGCCACAGGGCCCTGGCACCTGAATCTAGAAAGTGCTCCATCAGTCAATAGCCGCCCTTAACTCTGGTTTGCTGACAAGGTTGATTCACCGGTGGCTTTGACAGACAACTGTTCCTTTTCTCTGTTGCTCTCAGGAGTAATATCTTTGAGTAAAATTATTCCAAAAGTCAGATCGTCTTCTTAAGACAAATGTCCTAAAATATTAACTCACTTATGGTTGAACACCCTATATAGGAGTACACTGAATTTTTCACTTTGAGAACTATTTTGCACTTTCTCTTCACTAGAAATCATATGGCTTCATGTGAAGTGGATTTTGCTGAGATCATTCATGGCTTTGAGGGGAGTGTGCTGGCACCGAGGTTTGAATTCTTCAGGCACAGATCGCAATGACTCTTCTCTACAGCCCATAATAGTGGATGCTGAGTCTTTGATTTTCTGTGTGTTGAAACAAGCTGTAAGTTGTTTTCTGAGGAAGGCTGTGGTTTTTTCAGCAGAAACTCACTGTACTCGCTTGACATTGTATGTTTATGTCGGGAAGGGGGTCATGCGCACACCCTGATAAATCTCCTACATGTTCATAAACAGCTTTCTCTATGAAGTCTTTGCCCCTTCTCTGCAGATTATTCTCATTCGACATATTCCCAAATGAAAAATTTCTAGGTAAAATAGTATTAATGTGTTAAAGCCTCTTGAAGACAGAGTTGGCCGCATTGATTTCTGGGCAAATTGTAATAATTTATAGTGTCACTGGTTGTGTATAACAGTTCCAGTTTCAAAACAATATCATCAACATTGGATGTTGAATGGGGTTTTAGTTTATTCTATGCCAATTTAATAAATGAAAACTAGAATACTGATTTAATATTTCTATCTTTAAATATTAGTGAGGTGTAGCGGATTCAACAGTTATTTGCAATTTTTTTTTCATGTGATACCTTTGCCTATTACAGGTTTGGGTTTTTTTTTCTCAATTTTGTTGTAAAAAAGATTTGTACTATGCTATCTACATTTTAGCACTTTCAAAGAAGTGGGATTTGAATTTGTTTCCACTGTTTTTTAACTTGTAGTTTCCTATATTCCCAGTCTTTGTCTGCTTTTCATTTTGGTGTTAGCTGTTCTTCCTTAAACTTTTCAGTTGAATATCTAACTAATTTAGTTTACTCATTGGTAATGAATAAATTTTTCATTATTGCAATTTATATCTCATTACAATATAAACAAATTCAGGTTTTCAGGCCTTGGCATTTTTAATGAAGGCCATTAGATGTATGTCATGTGTGAGAGTTAGGTTTGTAGCTGGGAAGTAAGCCTGTCTACCATGGAGCAGACCCAGGCCCCACCTTAAGCATGGCACCAAAGTCTGTGATGCTACTTTCCAAATTTTATTCCACAAAGAGCATCTTGCCCAAGCATTCTATGAGTTAATGGTCTGGAGAAAACTTTATAAGCAATCATAAATAAACACAAACAAGAAATACTAGATCAATATGCCAATTTATTGGCCTAGCTAAACGTCCTTTGGGGACCGTTCTCAGCTGGGACATTGCTGCATCCTTCAATGGACATTTGCTTTCTTGTAAAAATAACTAAACATTGCTTGTGGACAAATGTGAAGGACTCTCTGACCCAAGGAGTTTATAGAAAACTGTCTCCCAGTTTCTGACCACTTAGACAACTTGGGAAAGATCTGCAGTCTGGCAGGTTCCTGGGACAGGAATCAACGTCCTGGAAAGCTCAGCTCTGTGGTTGCTAGGAATAGAGTCTGCATCTGGTGGGTTCCTCTCCTAGTCAGCTTCCTAAGTGGCAGTGCTGCAGGACCAAGGGCAGAAATTGTTGCTTGAAGCACGGATCGGCCTTGAAAACAGATGCCACCTTGGCCTATAAGAGAAAATAAGGAATGTCTGGGCACAGATATAGATAAAATTATGGGCAAAAGTGGTGAAGCAAGGAGTAGTCACGATCCAAGTATACGCATGGTGTGTAGCTAGGAACCGTGGAGGGGGGGGTGCTGCTGCTGCTGAGGCAGCTGCGGTGGCACCGCTAGGTGGCGGGAGAATTCCACCATTGCCACTAACCTCATCTGGGACTTTGGCTTCCTAGAAGCGGGATATGGAGTTGAATTTCTTCCTTCTGTTAAGACAGTAGAGGGTAACAAGCAGGGCTGATACTCCTCTGTCCACATGAAGAGAGCATGACCTCAGGAATGTCCTTTTGTGTACACCAGCCTTGTGTGTGCTTGAATATCCTTCCTTAAAACACTCAGGCCAGGTCATTCCCTTGTCCCTTTCCTGCCTAGACCAGGCTCATATCCAAGGGCTGACCATGGTTGTTTAGCAACTTCAGGCATTGCTGGCTGACTTTCCCTATATGTTAGAATTGACCCTTCCTCACAGGACCTTCCCCTAGAATTCCACTTTGCTAGGAACCCCCCCACCACCGCCACCACCCTCCCCTAACCCAGCCACTACTGCCTGCAATCAGCAACGTTTCCAGTTCAATGAAACCTGTTTTATTCCTTTTCCCTGTTATAAGCCTGAGTATCTTGCAGGGAGCACATTTCCATCCTGTTAATGAAACCCAAATTTGAACTGCTGGACACCCCCCAGGGGCCATATGATTGACAAATGCCCTGTTGGCCAATTTCTCCATGCAGCAAGACCACCTGGTTATTTGTGGTCCCACAGGCAGCTGGCCCTCCTTCCCCACATACCTTAAGGACATTTCTGCTTCTAATAACAACGTTACCGGCTGGGCACTAATGTGTGTGCTTTAAATAATCTCCTGGAGCCTTATCTCTTCACCTACAAAGTAGGGAAAATAACGCTTCCTTTGAAAGAGTATTGTGAGGTTGGAATATGACCTCTTTCCTAATTCAGTAACACTGACTTGTGAAGCTTTATTTTGGTTTAATAGAAAGCTTATGTTTTACCACCCACTTAAATCACTGCATCTTTATAAAGATGAATGGAGCACTCCCCTTGGAAAACAATTTCAACACCGTGGTTTTTACTATGACTGAGAGTAGTCTTGGTATTCATGTCTATTCAGAGAATACGGCAAAACTTGGCTGGTACCATCTAGTGTAAAAATTAGAATAAAGACAAACACTTCTGTTATGCTGAAAGTATATTTATATATATAGATATAGATATTTACTTCTCTGTAGACAGTTTTTACTGATGAGTCATTTGAACATTCAAGTAACAACCGATTACAATGCAACATGAACTATACCAGAATGAGATGGATAGCTTCTCAATTCATTTCACAAAGCCAGCACAACACTGATACCAAAACATAACAATCAAAATACAAAACAAAGATTCACAGATCTCACTTAAAGTTACAGATGCCAAAATACAGAGTAGAACAGTAGCCGACTGAAATCAACACCACATGAAAAATGTACAAAGCTTTGGCAGATATGAAACCAGGTTGAAAGTCCAAACTTACACACATGGAACTGGAACATAAACACCAGAAACACAAATGTCCCCCCACCCTCTCAGGGGCCTCTGGCCAGGAAAACACAGGAACGAGATCTCTGCTACACTTATTAGCGGGGAGGGGGTCTGCTGGCAGGGTCATGGTCACTGTCACCAGTGTCAGGTTCATCCTCATCTGTGTCTTCCCACTCACACTCTGCTAGCGCTTCAAGGTAATGGAATGGCCAGGACTGTGGATCTTTCTTATGGAGCTTGGCCAAAAACCTCAGGACAAGCATCTTGCTGGTTTCCAGGAATGCTCGAGGGCCCCAGAGGAATTCATACTCTGCAGGCTCAGTGTAGGGGATTCGCCTGTACTCTAGGTACTTCTCCCTGACAAACACTTCAGTGATGAGCTTCTTCATATTTCCAAAGAGACCATTTGTCTCCCGGACATCAAACCCTAACTTAAACAGAAAATGAAAGATCAGATCCTCCCTGACACAATTGCCTTTCATAAAGATGAGGCTCAAGACCACCATCAGGAGGCCGAATTTGGGCCTGTCTAAATAGGATGCCACCAAATCCCCTATAGGGTAGCTCAGCTTGTTGATGACAATGTAAGCGTGGCTTTTGGTATCAATTTCTTTCAACCGATAACCAAAGGCACGCTCCAGCTTACTGTTGGCACGGTTGATGATATCCAAGCACTCATCTTTATACTCTCGGATGATGACTTTCACCATCTCTGAGCGCTGGACAGGCACCTTGGCTTGGTCCTTGACTAAGAGGAACTGCACCAGTGCATTTGCCCTCTCATCCAAGGGAGACAAGGGCCGTGCCTCCACCTTGGAATCATGCTGGGTGGCACTGGATCCCGGAGAGACACTTGGGACCTCAGACACAATCAAGGGCAGAGGGCTCCCTGAGCCTTCAGAGAAACCCAGGGCCCTGGAGGTGCTTGGGCCCTCCCAGGCACTCAGGGCCCAGGATGTGCTGGGCCCTTCCCAGCCACTCAGCATCCTGGAGGTGCTAGAGCCCTCCCAGCCACTCAGGCCACGGGGGGTGTTTGGGCGCTCCCAGTCACCCAAGACCTGGACAGGACTTTGGACCTCCCAGTCACTCAGATTCTCCCAGGGCCTTGGGCCCTGCCAGTCATGAAAGGGCAGCGTGTGTCCACGGCTGTTCTCTTCGGCTTCCAGATGCTTCTTCTTTCGGGTGGCCTTGCCGGAGCGGCGTGGCGGCTCAATGGAGGTCTTGGAGGCCTCTTGAGTGGTGGCAGCTGCCTGGGGGGCAGCTGCTGTCGCCATCAGGAGAGTGGGCACTGCCTGGGATGCCTTTGAGGCATTCATGTTGGGCTGTGGGACCCATGGAACTGCAGGCAGGGCCTCTACACAGGCAAAGGGATCCTGCAGCGCATATGGCAGTGACTTTGGGGTCTCGGAGGCAGCAGAGGGGCCTTTAAAGGAATTCAGAGAAGCAGGCTGAAACTGGGAGGTAGCTGGGAAGACCCTTGAAGAGGCAGCAAAGGTCTCCGGGGCGGCAGGAAGGCTTTTCCAGGAGCCTGGCGGGTGTGCTCGGGCAGCTGACACTGCCTTGGGAGCACAGAAGGTGGCAGCAAAGATCATGCGATCCTTTGAAGGGGCCCTGCGCTCCTTCGAGGAGGTCCTGCGCTCTTTAGAGGAGCCCCTTCGGTCTATAGAAGAGGCCCTGCATTCTCCTGATGGAGTCATCAATGATTTAGCGCAGCCCGGGGGAAAATTTGACGCCGCTACTGGGGCTCCTGGCTGGGCCTGCAAGACCGCAGGCGGGGCCTGCCAGGGGGGCTGGATGGGCAGTGTGGGCAGCTCGGCTTGCGGACCCGAGGCCTGCGCCTGCTGCGGGGGTAGCTGGATTTGCACAGCCTTTTGGGAGGGGGGGCCTCCCTGAAAGGGCTGCTCCAGCTGGACCATGGGGGGGGGCTGCCTCTGGGCCTCCTGGGCAGGCAGGGGCTGCCAAAAGTGAGTGGGAGCCTTCGGGGCCTGCCAGGCCAGTGCCTGGGTCTGCTGCACCTCCTGGTACTCCATCGACGTCGGCATCTCGTGCGGCACCGGGGGCTGACCCTTGGGGGCCTGCCAGATAATGGATGGGCAGGGCACAGCCTGCGGAGCAGACAGCGGGGCAGACAGGGGGGCAGGCAGCGGGGCAGACAGCGGGGCAGACAGCGGGGCCGGCAGCACAGGCTGGGGCACCTGCGGGCCAGCGGGCGGCGCCGCGGGTACCTGCGTAGCAGGTGGGGCCGTAGGCACCTGCGGCGCCGCCTGCACCTGCGGGGCCGGCAGCCTAGCCTGCGGGGCCTGCCGCAGTGGAGGTGGGGGTGGCAAAGGCTGCCAGAGAGGTGGTTGGGTGGCCATGACCTGTGGGGCGGGTCGGATGGGCGGTGGCGCCTGGCGAATCAGCGGTGGGGCCTGGCGGATCACAGGTGGGGCCTGGCGGATCACAGGTGGGGCCTGGCGGATCACCGGTGGGGCCTGGCGTATCACCGGTGGGGCCTGGCGGATCACCGGTGGGGCCTGGCGGATCACCGGTGGGGCCTGACGGATCACCGGTGGGGCCTGGCGCACCGGTAGTGGGCCAGGGCGGATGGGTGGTGGGCTGGGGCGGATGGGCGGGGGCCCCTGGCGCATGGGAGGCGGCGCCTGCCAGGCAATCGCTGGTGCCTGCCAGGTGACCTGCGTGGTCTGCCAGGTCAGGGGGGTGGCCTGCCAGCCTTGCGGCGTGGCCTGCCATCCTGGCGAAGTGGCCTGCCAGCCCGGGGGTGTGGCCAGCTGCGCCGGGGGTGCCTGTGGGACCTGGGGAACCTGGGGAACCTGCGGAGGAGCCCTTATGACTTGAGACTGGATTTGCAGGATCAGAGGCTGACCCTGCGGGGCCCAAGAAGCCATCGGCTGTGCAGGTGGGGCTGCTGGCTGCACCATCGGTGCTCCTGAAGCTGGAGGCTGGGTCATCGGAGCTCTCACACCTGGAGGATGAATCATCAGGACTCCTGGACCTGGAGGCTTGGGCATCGGTGCTCCTGAAGGCGGAGGCTGGGTCATCACGGCTGCTGGAGGCGGCTGAGCCATCGGGGCTCCCGGAGGAGCAGGCTGGACCATCAGGACTCCCGGAGTCAGAGGCTGGGCCATCAGGACTCCCGGAGCTGGTGGCTGGGCCATCGGTGTCCCCGGAGGGGGAGGATGAGCCATCGGTGTCCCCGGAGGGGGAGGATGAGCCATCGGTGTCCCCGGAGGGGGAGGATGAGCCATTGGTGTCCCCGGAGGGGGAGGATGAGCCATTGGTGTCCCCGGAGGGGGAGGATGCACCATCGGGGTCCCCGGAGGAGGAGGATGGGGCATCGGGGTCCCCGGAGGAGGAGGATGGGACATTGGGGTCCCCGGAGGAGGAGGGTGGGCAATGGGGGCTCCAGGAGCTGAAGGATGCACCATCAGGACTCCCGGGGTCGGAGGCTGGGCCATCGGGGCTCCCGGAGGCGGAGGATGCACCATCAGGACCCCGGGAGTTGGAGGCTTCCCCATCGGGCCCCCCAGCGGGGGAGCCGGGACTATCGGGCCCCCTAGGGCAGGAGGCTGGACCATCGGAGCCACTGGGGCAGGCAGCTGGCCCGGTGGGGCCTCCCAGGCAGGCTGAGGTGCCTGCCAAGCGGCCAGTGAAGCCTGCAAGTCAATTGGAGGTGGATCCCAGGGGACCGGCGGAGCCCGGGAGGAAGCGGGCGGGGCCCGCATCAGAACCGTAGGGCGGCTATAGACAGGCGGCTTCGGGGCCTCCGCCGGAGGACTCGAGTCACCCAGATTCTTACTTAGCTGCGACATGTCCCTTTGCTGACAGCTGGTGGGTCTTTTCCTCGGACAGCTGCTGGGCCTTTTCCTCCAGAGAGAAGAGAATGCCTACGTGGCCGTTCAGAGGCTCCCTCCCGGCTGAATGCTGAATAGGAAGTGAGTGTCGTTCGCTCCGCAGCTTTCCGCAGTAAGAAGGAGGGGGGAAGGGGGCTCAATCCCGCCCCTTCCCCGCCCCCGACCACCACAAGTGGATATTGCACAGGGGCGTCTACCGGAGTCCTGACTGACACAGGATCCCTGCTCGCTCTGTCCAGCCCCCAGATGCAGACCAGTCAAACTCCACATGGATGAGTTTTCACAGGGGAGTGACAGGAACCGGTCCATGTTTTAGAAAAATCACTGTACTGCAGTGTGGAGTGGGAAGAGACCACTGGAAACATGGAAAGTATCCAAGACGGGGGAGATGGTGTGGTCTGAGCTCAGAAGTGAGGCGCAGAATTAAAAAAAAGTGGATTTGCATAAGAGAGTTTTAGGAGCGATAGCAGACAGATACCTGTATTATAATTGAATAAAGGAGTCAAGGAAATGGAGAAGGCACGCAAGTCACTGTCCCGGGAAAGTGGGAAGTTGCAGGGACTGTTACTCTCTTAGGGTCCCGCGGGAGGCATATGAGAAGAGAGGCTGATGAGTATTGGCAGACACAGGGCATCTGCGGTGCTGAGGGACTGCCAAGGAAGGATGCCCTGTAGGAACTCCTGTATGATGTCTTGGGAGTCCTGCTCGGCGGCTATTCCTCATAAAAATAGACATGTGAAAGGGAAGGTGCTTGCGCTATGTCTTGAAGAAGATAGGCATGTTAGACACACATGGAGAAAAGGGATAGCAGCAAGTAGAGAAAGAAGTCACGGAAACTGAGACATGCCAGAAATCAGTGGAAGACAGCATTTTTAGCGTGGGGAAAACTGCCTGTGGAATGGCTCAGATGCGGGAACAGAGCAGGTTTCTCAGTGTTTTTCAGTTTCAGAGCAGGAAAGAAATTTTAAAAATGAAAACCAAATAATGCACCTGAAGATAACAAAATGGCTATATAAATAGATCCAAAATTGATAAATTTGGATATATAGGAAAAATAGGCAAAGCATAACAAAATTTCTGGGGAAAATACTGGTGATAAAAAATCAGTTTAAATATGAGACAATCAAGTATTAACGGATAAAGCAGATGACAATAACATTATTGGGCAATGCTATACAATTTTATGGTGAAAGGAACTGATAATCTCAGTAGTTGAAAAGTTTTCTGGAAACACACAAAGTACTAAATACCAAGGATATTTCGTTTAAAGAGGCTGTTTGCAGCCTAGGGCAGTAGTCCAGAGTAACAAAACATGCCACTAGGGGGCACATGAGGACGACTAAGGGTACACCCCACTCCTCCCTGGGTACCCAATAGCCAGGGGTCCTCAAATTTGGTAATTTATGGATCCAAGGGAAGGTATGTTATTATTGCCTTAAACAATAACAGAAGAATTAGGGGGTGAGGTTTCAGTGATTTTCTGGGCATTTAAGTGATGTTGTTATTCCCAGGAAATTCTTTTCAAAGCAATCGGAATTTTAAGGGTGCTTTATGATACAGTAGCCTCTCACGCTATCTGCAGGGGATACATTCCAAACCCCTTCGTGGACGCCTGAACCTGAAGACTGCACCAAACCCTGTATATACCATGTATCCCTTTCATTCTCCTTCTTCACAATTTCACAGATAGGTTTGTTTTTGCCGTATATCTTAGCAATCTCAGCATGCAATTTTTTCTTTCCTTATTAATGGACAACTGTCACATTTTTCCTTCAAGGCAGCACTTAACAGCTTCTGTTTGGCACACCTAACTTGCCAAGATCACTACTCTTGTGTTTTGGGACCATTATTAAGTAAAACAAGAGTTCCTTGAACACAAACACTGGGAAACCGACAGTGGAACTGATATCTGAGGCAGCTACTAAGTGGTTAATGAGCAGGTAGCGAACACAGTAGCACTCTGGCGCCTGCAGTTTCACATTCTGTGGTTTCAGTTACCTGCAATTAACTGCGGTCCGAAAAGATTAAGTGGAAATTTCCAGAAATAAACAATTTATAAGCTTTCAATTACATGCCATTCTGAGTAGTAGTATGAAATCCTTCTGTTTCATCCTGCCTGGGGCATGAGTTATCCCTTTGTCTAGTGTATTCATGCTGTATACGCTACCCGCCTGTTATTCACTTAGTAGCTGTCTCGGCTGTCACATGAAAACATCATACTACATATAGGATTCAATAGTATCTCCACTTTCAGGCCTCCGCAGGGGGTCTCAGAATATATTCCCCAAGGATAAGGGTGGACTACTGGACGTCACCCCTGTGTATACCCGGAGAAGGCCATCTACACACAAAAAAGCTTCTGCAGAATGTCTACCACCATGTTTCATGGTTTTCATTTCTCAACCTTGAGTTAATGGCTCAGATCCATATAGGATTTCTCAGTTTCGTGAGGGTTTGGAAACACTGTAGAGGGGTCAACTCGACATGCCTTACCCTCACGATCAGCTATCATCAACTCTGCTACATGGGTGTTACTGGCTGTGAATGGCTTTGGAAAAGCCAGTTCATTTTTTAGCCTATGGCATTTCTATCCTCACTAAAGCATCCTTTTTTCAACTCTAATTCAAATGTCTAAACTATGCAGAGACTAAGTTATCCCACTAATTGTTTATTTTCCGGAATTTTGACAGGTTTGACCTGCAGTCCACCATGCTGTTGGTCATCCCACACGATGAATGGTTCCCATTAGGGCCTCGCTGTTCTCACTGATGTTGGAGGTCCGTGTATAGCACTGACACACAGTGTCAACTCTCATCAAATCTATGAAAAGAGCTCCGGTTTACGCCAACAGGCAACAGCAAAGCCAGAAAGAAAAGATTAGGAATTATGCAAAGGAAAAATTTATGTAGGAGTAATTAGAAATGGAAGATTAAAAACGTCTATGCTGCCACTCTTGCCACTCTTTGGAAATATTCTTTGCCTGGCAGGGAAAAATTAAAGATTATGTATCCACTGATTCTATTGGAGCAAGTAAAGAGGGTAAACCAAGTTTATTCTCCCTGGAAGAGACATCTGCTTATTTCAGACAATCAGTGCTCTCAAACCCAGGCTGTCCTGGGACTCTCCCTGGCTATTTACAAATTACTTGTGGGCAAAATCGAGTGCACATGAGGAAAAAGGGACACACGGGTCCTCTGTGAAAACTGAACACCTTTATAACAGCAAAACATAGCATTGCCTTGAGTCTAGCGGGGTATTAGACCACAAGTCTTAGATAGATCTCCCCAAATCACTCCTGTGAAATCTTCCAGCGTCCTGAAGCCCTCTTTCCCTTTCTGTGCGTATGTTCTTCCTCCTCAACACATTTGAAGCAAGTGGTGTCAAAATTTCCTTTCCTTGTTTTTTATCAAACAGCTTGAAAATTCAAGGTGAGTGGAAAACAAAAGGGAAAAATACAAAATATCCATGAAATGTTGGTCTCTATTCTCTAACTAGAAAGGACTTTTAATGGATTACATCAGTATATAACAGCAGAGAACAAAATAATTTTTAAAAATAGGAAAGGGAGAACTAACGATATTGTGATGGGAGTAGGAACACTGTGGAACTAGGAGCAGATTGGAGACTGTTTGGCTCACCTTGGTATCCCCAGCTCACACTGAGTGGTCACTAAGGAGCTATGAAATGAAATGGTAAGATTAGCACCAGAACTGCCTATCTTTCCATCTTCTGCAGCTGCGAGACTGTGTAAATATTCGTAAGTGACAAAATCATTTATGATTTTCATAAACTCTAAAATTACTTATTTGTGAAATAACCTTTTATTAAGCATTCACTACATGCCCAGCACTGTGCTATATACAAGACTCCAGAGAAAAATCTGATGCAAGTCGTATCTGCATCTGTTGTTAGTCATATAGGGACATTAATCTAATATATTGCTAGTCACATAGGGACATTAATCTATCATTAGTCACATAGGAACATTAAACTAATCTATTGTTAGTCACATAGGGATATTAATATGGTTTTTTAGTACATATAAGGTGTTGTTGTTGCATTGTTTAAGCCTCATATTGGTAATAGAGGTTGAAAATAATCAAGTACTCGCTTCTGCTTGGAACATGGGGTGAGGGCAGCTGTGATGCTGATTGCAGCATTGAAAAGAAAGAAAACAAACCTGAAGCTGTGAAAGATTCATGTGATCCAGATAGACAGTCTAAGCAGAAAAATTATTTTAAAAACATACGATATATCATAAGTACACAGTTTGAAAAAAAAGAATTGCAAGGATTAAAATAGTGTAGCTACTATTTATTGAAGATTTATTATTTGATAAAATACCGTCTTCAGAGTATAATAGACTCTATTCATTGATTACTTACAAAATCCATAAGTGTTTGGCTTGATTTTACATGTCGAGAATTTGAGGCTCAGAAGATCCAGCAATATATAGCAGAATTCAGATTCAAATCGTAATCTATTTGTTGTGAAAGCTGGCATTCTTTTTTTCTTTTTGCCACCCCCCACCAGGCAGGATCTTGCTTTCTCCCTCACACTGGAGTGGAGTAGTATCATTATAGTTCACTGCATCCTGAAACTCCTGGGCTCAAACAATTCTCCCGCATCAGCCTCCTGAGTTGCCAAGACTGGAAACAGGCCACACCACAACCAGCTGATTTCTGCTTATTTTTCATTGCGACGGGGTCTCACTATTTTGCTCAGGCTGGCCTCAAACTCCTGGGTTTAAGTGATTCTCCCACCTTGGCCTCCCAAAGTGCTGGGACTGTAGGCATCAACCACCATGCCCAGCCCATCAATCTTACCATTACACCAGTGCTGCCAAACCCTTTAAAATATGTTAGATAGAATTAACATGTAATTAAATGCACAGATCTAAGGTATTCAATTTAATGAGCTTTGCCACTGAGTAACCAACACTCAAAGCAATATGAATATTTTTATTATCAAAGAAAATTTCTATGCACTCTTTTCTAGTCAATTATTCTACCACCAAAAGCATACGCTTCTTTATTTCTTTAAAAAATGGAATCAGCATAGGAGGCAGTGAGATGATAGATAGATAGATATGCTG